TTCCCACTCATAATATCTCAGATAAGCCCTCTCTCCCTCTCTCCACCCCCGCTCTGTGTGTGTAACCCTTCGCTGGCGAGATGGCTCCGCACCGGTCAACAGGTAAGTCTCCTGGTTTTGCAGCTGGCCACACACTTCTTAGTTCGAGGAGATAGGGAGGAAGAAATTCGAAATGAATCTGTCCGCAAACGCGACTAGATTCATTTCTTGTTCAAGCAAAAAAAACTAACTACTCTGCCTTCGCGCAGCACTACCTCCACGAATCTCCTTGTATACTAATTTTCTTCCTGAACTAATCGCGGATTCGAGACCGCCATAGTCCAAAACCCCCATTTTGTACCTTCGTTCGTCCGATCCCATCGAGAATCAGATGCGCGCAGTGCCTTCCTTCCCGCCATATCCATCACCCCGACACCTCCGCGCAACGCTTTCTTCCCCTGACGACCAATCTACTAACCTACCGCCCAAACTAACACCATAGTTGGACTCGCACGGCCCTAAAAACCCCCGATTAGGATCTTATTTCACCCGATTCTGTTGGGAATTGGGGAAGATATCGGGTTTCCCTCCCTCCACCTCTTCCCACTATTGCCAATCTCGCGCAGAGCTTTTCCCTATTAACTTCTAACCCGCTAACTGATTGCTTAAACTAACGCTACCATTCGTTTCGCCCGGGGTCAAAACCTCGGGACTGCAGCTTTCGCCCCTCGATCCCATTCACGGTAGAGGGTGTTATGTCCTCTCAACTGCGCCGGCTCGTTCTCCCGTAGCTGCGCTGCTTCTTTCTGCGCATGTATCCGGCGCAAAAGATCATCTAGGTCCATCCTCCCCTCTTTTCCTTCTTCTGTTACTGCGTCCGCCTTTCGTACCCCGGCTTCACTTCTGCCGTTGCCTACTCCGCTTCTCTCTCTTGCTGCACTCGCCTTTCCGCCCTGTCTCACCAGTCTCCGCCCGCCATTCTCGATTCTTCCTACCCCGAATGTATCCGGTGCGCAAATCGCGCCCAGATCCCTTCTGCTATTTTCCCTTCCACCCTGCCTCTGGAGCGGGCCCGACCATCGCCCCGCAGTGACCCGTTACCGCCCCGCCTCACTGTTGCTTTCTTCTTGCTCGGCACCTTAGCGCAGCAGCCCTACCCGACAGCGCCGGCCGGTCTGAGGGAAACTTCAAAGGGAACCAGCTACTAGACGGTTCGATTAGTCTTTCCTCCCTATACCCAAGTCCGATGAATGATTTGCACGCCTGTACCATTGAGAGCCTCCTCCAGAGTTCCTTCTGGCCTCGCTCCACAACCCCAATGCCCGCTGCCGTAGCACTCCGCGTCCTGCCCACAGTCGGAGAGTACCCCTTTTCTGAGTTTCTCAGAAAGCTCGACTTTTCGGCCCCGCCCCCAATTCATGTGTATTATCCTTGCGCAGGGTTCATGCTAATCTTCTCTGCATCGTTTCAATTTTAACGGTTGTCCCGAAGGACTCAGGCCACCGGCCTGTGCTGTCTTTCGGCGCCCCCAGCGGGCATACTCACACACGCCCCTTTAGCAGCAGACCGCGGAATCAAAGCGCGGCATCGCTACCCTGCCTGAAACGTGGGCCAAAGTGGTGGCGGGCCCGACGCAAATCTTGATGGCCGTAGCAACTTTTTCAAATGAGAGCTTTGAAGCCCGATAACGGGGGAAAGCCCCGCGGGCATACTCACCCCCAAACCTCACACAACAGGTCGTGGTTGACGGATGATGCATCCTCCGACATTCCCACCACTCAGGTTCCTTCCGTCTCGTGGGCTAATCACTCACCGGCTTGCATGCACGTTGAACCCCCGGTTTTAAGTGCTTCTCAGGCATTGACACGGTATCGCGCCCCAAATTAGGACGGGGCCGCCAATAGCCGTGGGAAAAAGTAAAATATATATATATATATATATATATATATATATATATATATATATATATATATATATATATATATATATATATAAATAATAAATAATATCACCAAGCACAACGACCGAGGCTCGGGCCGGCTTTGCGATCAACAACGGAAAAGAATCACGCGCACCTTAAACCTGCGCGCCCACGCACTCGCTATTTTGATCAACCATCCTGTCAGCGTTGTCACAGACGCAGCCACGCCTAACGCGGTATACCTAAACTTTAAGCCAAAACTACTTTCTGTCTCTCGCAAAAACCAGAGCGGATACCCTTGTAAGGGTATTCGCACCGACAACTTACCGGACCATATTAAGCGACGTCCCCGTCGCTTCGCCAAATCAAAAGGCTATAAATCCATCCATATTCCAAATGATAACGAAATAGGAGCCAATCCGATTAGCCGACAAACACAGGGTAGAGGCCTCCATCAAACCATGCCTTTACAACCATATGCTGTCAGGTTTCTAACCTGGGCTTCTCACCATCCAGAAATTAGGATACTGGCAACATAAGTTTTAAAGACCTTCCCAATCGTCCTCTCCCCGGTCCTAGACAACCTTCGACTTTTCGTTGGGTGTCCCTAGTCCTGGCAAAAACTAGGGACGCGGGCCTTAATCAAGACGTTTGGAAGACACTCTCATCTTCCACCTCAAAAAAATTATCGCAATCAAATACACGCAAGTATATATGTATACTTAATATTCGCTCAGCTCTTACTGCAGTCTAGTACAGAAAGGTTAGGTCTCCACCTCGGTCCACTATAGCCTGGCTGATCGGACCAGGACCACGGCCAACCACATTGTTATTTAACGGCAGTACCTTCGTTGGTTATGCAACGGTAGGTTTCTTCCTGGTAAGCACTCAATCAAGATTTCCCCCAAAAAATTATCAACCTTCATTATCCTACGGAGTAATTTCACTGGGGCGGGCACCCCGCCTTAAACTCTTACCATGCGGTCCTGCAGCCAGGTTGCGCCGGCTAGCAGCAATCCAATGGGGTTACGCTCTAGAGGTACTAACTTCTTTTCCGTTAGCTTGGCCTTTCTTCAATATGTCTCAGAATTAGCACTAGTGGTTAGACGGGGGCGTCGCAAAACAAAATCACTGGCCCACTGCGCGATCACGCAGGGGTCTGAAGGCATTTACCAGCCCTTCCACAATAGGCATGGCATCCTTCGCACGCTCACAAACAAAATCACCGCTAGGTCCACCAGGCCGTGACCCCTGACTTGATCAGAGCCAACAGCCACCTACTCTGAGACATCTCTTGCCCTGCACTCATTGCGACTTTCTCAATCATTCCAAACAAAAGTGACTTTTTTCATCAGACTATTATCACCCATTAAACAACTCGCCATGCCATAAATCAGTTTACTCACCTCTGAGGGTGAGTCTTCCAACCATAGACCATTCCTTTTTTCCAAAAATCCAAGGGGCTCTCATTATAAACAAAACACCCCCTCTTCCAAAAATAACGAGGGGTCTCGTTATAAAACCAAACTTCCCCTCCTCAAATCTCGAGGGGGTCTCATCATAACACACAACATCATAAAACATCCCCTTCCAAAAAATCCAAAGGGCTCTCATCATAAAACAAAACATCACTGAGGGACCATCTTATGGGTCCTCATCACAACTTAAACAATTAGTAATCAACATGGTATCACTCCCTCCCCTTATACTCTGCCCTATCAGCTGCCCGTGGGCAGGTCGCACAAGTATACCGAGGAGTAGTCAGTTTTGCTTACAATCATATTCACTGTACCTATGGCAAAATAAGATGTTTTTCACACGTTGTCCACACAAGCTCATCATACATCAGAGTACAACCACACATGTGAGAGTGACAAGTGATCGTCATATATATGAATGGTCCCTGAAATAAAGCCTCATCATGATATACACTCAGGGAATAAAAAGGCCTCACACAAAAAATGTCTCCAAATCATACCTCACTCCACTCAAGCCACACCAAACCCATACTGACAACTACCCCTAAAATACATGTCAGATCTGTCTCTCAAAGGCTAGGGCGTAGGCCACCTAAATATGTATATGCCTCATCTAAACCACCCTGACCCTCAAAACCCCAACTCAGTAGGAACACAAAATTTCAAATCTACACTAGTAGCAATCATCAAAAAGATCCTCTAAGTCTAAGAGGGTATCACACAGACCCTAAACTGATGCCTCACAAGATACTCGTCCACCTATATAGACAAACCGACACTATCTCCTCAACTCCTCTTGGTTTTGACTATATAACTGAGCCCTAAGTGCATCTGCGGACTTCTCTACTGTCCTACCCTGTCTATCATACATCTTACCTCCTACCTCTGAGACCTTCCCTGCTGCCTTATCTTCAAGGAACTTGAGACAGTCCAGAGCATGATGTACGTCCCTCTTGCAGTAGAAACATAGCTGATCTACCTTCCTCTTGAACTTCTTCTTCCTGGGCTGAGGAGGTGGCGATGAAGGAGATCCTACCAAGGTACTGACAACCTCCTGCTGCTCTGATCAAGGAACTGCGGTACTAACGACCTCCTGCTGCTCTGTCCCAGAAACCGGTCCCCCAGACCCAGATTTAGTAGCCCAAGATCCCAGTCTGCTCCTCAAATCCCCTGTAGCTCAGACGTACTCAGGCATGTCCAACCTCTGAGGTCTCCTCTCGAGTGTCTCTCCTGGCACTGCCGTGGGCTGCTCCTCAATCTCCGTTGGTCCATTCTCAGGTCTGCCCATCCTCTGGAGCCTGCTCTCGATGACACCCTCCGCCTCAATCCCCATCTCGTTCTCAAGCGACTCCTCTATCCTCTGCTCGGGTGAAAACAAGCTCGCCTCCACCTGCATGGTATGCACTGCCTCAAGGAGTACGCCCATGGATCCCTCTGCTGACCCTGAGCCGGCTCATTGCTAGATGGCGGTAGCCCTTCCTCAATCGCCAAAGGTACGACTGGGTCTGCCGCTGCCACTGGCAGCGTCGCGAGCTCAGTAGGGGCTCTAAGCTCGAATGCCTCTCTCTCTGCCTGTCTCTAGGCTCTCGCCTCCTCTGGCTGATAACTCTTCCCATAGGTGGCTCGTGGCGAGGCTCTGCCGCAGATGGCTGTCCTGGCAATCCCTGTCTGGGCTGCCTCTGCTATCCCTGCCTGCTGCTCTCTGGCTTGTCCACCTTTCCCTGGGTTTGCTGCCTCAGACTCTCAATGATAGCTGCCTGGCTGGCCACCAATGCCCTGAGTTCCTGGATTTCCATCTCCATAGCCTCCAGGCGTACTCCATGACTTGCTTCCTTCATCTTTTTCCCTGCCAGATTGCTCTCCAATAACAAGTGCCGGTCAAAAGTGGTCTTGGCTAGGAACTTGATTTTACGATCTAACCTCTCTTCCGCCTTCCTGGCCATCCCAAACCCAGCTCTGACTGGCGATGGAAGCTCCTCTCCTCTCTGCTCCCAGAAGTCCCTCCACATCTCAGGGATCTCCGGGGCCCTAGCTGGCGCGCCGGGTGGCTGACCTGGGAGTGCTCCTGCTGCCTCCGATCTCTGCCTCTCCTTCTGCTGCTCCGGAAGCTCCCCCGCTGCCTCCAACCTCTGCCTCTCCTGCCATATCTCATCTATCCGCCTGGTTCTTCTCGCCCTCTTTTCTTCAGCCGTCTCTCCAGCTGGCAACCTTTCCCTCGTGCGGAGGTCGACCCTCTTTGGGATCTCTGCTTCCATCTCCTTCTCGGGCTGGCATGGCTCCTGGCGAAACTCTGCAGGTGCTGGCCCCTCCAGGTCTGGGTTGTCGGGCGCACTCGATCCGGCACCGCACGGGGGCAGCGCGGGACCCTCCCGGCCGCGTCACGCAGGAGTTGGTTTTCAATCCTTCGTCGCAAAAATACATGGAGCTTCCACAAGCCGCTCCGGCCGGGTGCGCCAGCCATACCTCTCGCGAGCCCCTACGACAGGATAGGGCCT